GGTTTGGGTTGTTTTCAGTGGGAAGCCGGGCAAATCCACTGGGAAACTTGAACTCCCCAAGCTTCAAGGTGATGCTCTGTTATTGTGCTTTCAAATATTCTCTTGTGTTAGGAAGGGTGAGAGTTTATAAATAGATCATTCCTGTGACCAAACCCCTATCTCGCTGCCCCACTTGCTCCTTAAACAAGAAGTCTGCCATGTGTACAGTAGGCCAGACTGAGGATTAGGGCACTTGGTTTCTTATACCCCATTTCTCTACAGCAGTGAACATCTATAGCTTAGTCATTTCAGATGTGTGTTCTCCTCCAATTAGGGTGACTCACCATCCTGGTTTTTCCCAGCACAGTCCTTGTTTTAGCACTGAAAGTCCTGGATTGTGGGGACTCCCCAGTCCCAGGTGCACCTGGAAAATTGGTTATCCTTTATGTTCCCAGAGTTGGATCCAAGCAGCAGATTCCAACTCCTCTGCTTATTGAATCTCCTGAACCCTACAAATGTATTTTTTAAACTAAGAATGGGCAGTTCTAGTTCTGTTGCATGAATGTATGGTGGACCATTAGAGACAAAGTTTCAACAGACTAGGGAAGACCTATATAAATTTTAGAAGAATTAGCACATACTTAGCATAAAACATTTTTAAAAGAAAGGATTTTTGTTTTGTGTTGCTTTTGATTTTGTTTTAATTCTGTGAACCTTCAGCAAATGGATTGAGTCTTAGAGGATACTTTTCTCTAATTGTCAAAGTTCAAGTGGCAAATCACAGTTTGATATTGTCAGACAATCCTAAATGTTCCTAATACAAAATGGTATCCTTGTCAGCAATATTATAAGCATAATAAATAGAATATAGTTACATTAATGGGCCTTAGCAAAAATAGTTAAATATTGTTCTAACTCTAGCCAAATGAATTTTATTCTTTCATATTTTAACCAAAATTTGCCAAACAAGAATTATGATGAAAAATGTCAGTGATTTTTTTTTTTTAATTCAAGTACTAAACACGTTTAACTTATTTAAGGAACAAGTCTCCATCTCAATCACAGGCATTTCTCCCCTAATATAAAGTTATTTTTTAATTGGTTGGGGGGAAATACAATAATAAGATTTTAAATTCTGAGGTACAAACTACACCTGCTTAGGATCTAAAACTGAAATGGAAAACACAAGGCTTAACCCCACATGCTCCCTGATCAAATGCAAAAAGTTCTTAAAATAGCTTCGTGTGAAGATGTTCAGAGCAGCTGAAAACCAAGATGTTGGTGTCCCTACTTACAACCTGGCAGCTTATTACCATGGCTCAGAGGCAGCTGCCCCTGTCTCTTTCTGTTTCAGGGCCAGGAGCATCAGCTCTAAGGAGAAGCACCGAATCAGCCTCTATCTACATTGCTGTCATCCCCTGAATTCTACTTTCCTAGTCAAGGGATTGTCCCTAGATCCACCATGAAGACCTGTGACATTCACTCCAAGCCACTAATATGAAGGGAAAAGTTTCCAAACAAACTTAAATAGGTATATAATAAATTCCAGGAAAAATGTAAGAAAGAAATGAAGTCTTGTGTATTTGATGGGTTATAGCTGTTAAGAGACAGTAAAAGTTATGTGTGGTATCTTACTGCTACCTCAGTAGCTTAGTTATCAGCAGGTCAGTGTGCTCTCTCAAAATTCATTGGAAAGGCCTTCTTCATTCACTTAAGACTGTTCTGTTCAGCTCCACTTACCTTGCTATAGCTCTCAGTTAACCATGTTTACTGTTTTTTCCCATAGAGAATTTTTTCCTGGGATAGTCTCTCTTACCCATGATAAAATGCTTCTCTCAAGGGCCCACTTATGTTTCTATCAGCAGCAGGATCTGGATTGGTGGATAATTGGTATAATCTGATGAGACGATATTTTATGTTGCCAGGCTGGTGGCACTAACCAGCAGTTTAAAATTCCATTTCCATTCACATGTAAGTGAATATACTGATATACTCTTCCTGTACTAAAAAGAAGAAAGAAGTAGCTTTCATCTCTTTTAGCAGCTAAGCTGATTTTTCAAGGGCCCGAAGAAAGAACTGTGGAGTGAGTACGTAGAAGGGAAATGGAGGCAAGAAGAGAATCGGGTTGGGGAAGGCCTGAAGCTCTCCTCTGTCAATAAACTTTCCAATTGGCTGCTATCACCTTCAAACAGTAGAGTTTGGAGCTGTGAATACTCATGTTGAAAACTCAGACGTTTACTGTTCTTTCATTTGAGAAATTACTTATGAGACTGTGCATTAGAGAGAAAATTAGCTGTGCTAATCCCTTAGGTGTCTAAAACCTGGTTTTTCCATCTGCTGAACAGGGGATAATACCTGCCTTTTCTATCACACAGGATCACTATAGGATCAAGTGAGTGACTGATAATTGAATTCTGTTAACAATGTAAAATACCTCATGGGGTAAAATGACATTGTTGTTATGACTAAGGCCGTCATAAAAAGTCTCCTCAGGGTGAGAAACATGGTACTGCCATTCTTTCATATGTAGCCTCCAATGACAGACTGTCTCTGTCAAACAGATTAGACAGAAATTTCTTGAACTTCTGTCAGATTTGAACCCCAGATAGCTGTGAGGCTATCATGCAGATTTTTGTTCTGATGTCTTCCTTAGAGACTTCCTGTCTGACCAAATTCTGAAGAAGCAAACAGTATCAGTTATGTGAACCTTTTGTGTTTAACATCTATAGCTTGGAATAGAAATGTCAACATCCTTCAAAGAAGGCTCAAGTATTTCTGCTAAAATGTATATCCAGCCTGGTTATTTGATGCTGAATTGGTCACTGTAATTGTCTCCATACCTTGCAGACACTTAATAACCCTTTTTAAAGTAGGGAGGAAAGTTTTCTGGTCCTAAACTTTTAATCAGAAATGAGAAACAAAATACTTACCATGGTAAACAATGCATAATATATAGGTTCAGATCACCAGCCATCAGCCCCTCTGTGAAGATCCCTATAATTCGGGGCATATAAAAACCATGTTTGCCTTATTCACTGGTGTATCCCCAGGAACCCGGCACATAGTAAGACCTGGCACATAGTAGGCACTCTAAAATATTTGCTGAGTGAATGAACAAATGAGCAAACAAATTAAGCCCTTTACTATGAAAATGTTTCCCCTAATTGTACTGAAACAAATAATATTCTGTGCTCATCATGAGTGGTTATTTAATGCTGATGGTCACTAGTTCTATTTGAAGTAAATAAAAGGAACTAGGATTTTTTTTTCTTTAAATTTTTTTAATGGGACATATTGGACATGTATTTCAGTGATAATGAAAATTTTGCTTTAGGTTAAGACAATAATATGGACTCTCTTCTGAAGAAAAGACTACAAGGCCCTTTACTTCTGTTTTTTCCCATCTTGGGCCTGTCCAACTCTTGGAAAGTTGCAATATCAGTCTCCTGTGATAGTGCTCTATCAAATGCACCATCAGTTTGAAAACACAATAAAGAATTTCCATCTCCAGTGGCAATGCCACCTAACTAAGACCAGTTCTTGGCTAACAAATTCTTTGGTTCAATAACAGTTTAAGCAAAAAAGACAATTACACGTGGACAGAAGCTAGACTGTTAAATAAATTGCACTACCTTTGCTAATAAGAGTACTTTTATTTGCCACAGATTTTTGATAGTGCAGTTTTGCATTGGTTATTATAAGAACCCAAACCCTGCATTCTTTTGGGAAATTATTTGGAAAACTCTCATCAAAGTGACCTGTCTTAATTGTTCTACATCTTTGTTTTAAAGAAGTGGAAATAGCCCATGAAAATTATTGCTGCCATTAGAAATATTCAATAGGAAACAGCTTTTAAAGTGTTTATGCTGATTTTTAATTAATCGTTATGGAGTTTCATAATAATGTTAACTGATAACAGCAGAGATATATTTACTTAGAATATTTTTTTGAGGGATAGAAAATTGATATATTGGTAAGTTTCATCATAGAGAAAGCATTTTCAATTATAGCTAGAGGAACATTGTCATAAATTGAAAGAATTGTCTCCAGTAGCACACTACCCTATGTCCTGCTTTATACAAACCTAATACACAGATGGCATATGCTTGTGTTGTCAAGCAATATTTGTATTGCACTTCTTGTAATCTTCCCAAAGTTTGTGCAGATAGTGAAAAGATATGTGATCATCAGTTGCCATTAAGAGAAAGGAATAACTGACTATGTCACAAGCATTTTAGCTTAACATGTATCTATGCTGAATGGAGCACCTATATTCAAAACTACAGAGGCACCCTAAATATTGAATAATATTCCCATAGAGCAAGTACAGTGAGCAGAACTCTCTCTGGCATCATTTGGCAACAACCTGGCATCATTTCCCATTGACAGTGAGATGTGCCCATAGATATCAAATCATAGTCTTTGGATTGATAGGTATTTCCCAAGATCTTCTAAAAATCCTACCTCAAAAATATCCTTCTGTTCTCTGACCCCCATTCATCCAAAAAACGTGAACAAAGTAAGGGGAAAAATGCAATCTAGTTGCCATGTTAAGATGCTGCTTTCTCCTCTCTTTCCATGAAAAAAGAATTCCTCCTCTCCAATCCAATGTACATCTCCATTTTCATCACATTTTGATGAGTTCGAAGTTATATATTGATCATTCACAGCAGTTTACAAAAGCAAGCTGTTATAAGGAAAATCATTTGCCCAAACCTATTCTTTTAACTTTTTGACCATTTGTCTTAACTCTTAGAGGATAACAATTTCCAATTTCATTTTGGTTTTCTCTCATACCTGCCAATTTAGCAAAACTCACCTACTGTCAAGACAGTTCCTCTATTTTGCAAGGGGCTCTTATTCACATTAGCCTGAAAGTCAGTCATCTGTCGGAAGCTCTTAATCGTGCCTGAGATTTACTACATTCCCTTGTTTAATATCCAGAAGATCCTGCTCCTGGTTGTTGGATAAGATAGAAACATCCCCCTAAAGCCTCTTCTGAGCAGCGATAGAACACTTACCTTACTGTGCAGGAGGTACCTTTACTTGATTATGCCCGCTAGTTCTCTCTTCTCATCCCCACCAAAATCCAATAGTGAGATCCAGGGACCAACAACAATGTTTTCTTCTTTTCTTTTTGGACACTCTTTCAGTTTTTGTTTTGTGGGCTACAAAGCCACGGAGAGTTTGCAACCAGAGGCCACTGACAGTTCTGCAAAGGAGAGGCAGTAGGGAGCCCAGTACTGACTGGGCCCAAACACAAAATATAACCCTCTTCCCTCTCCGGGCAGTGTCCTTCATACTCTGAAGACAGGCAACCTTGCCGAATCCCTCACCCTACAGCTTGCCAGTCTCCACAGAAGAAAGGGTCTAACTGAAGAGGGCTGCAGGATGAGGCAAGGCAAAAACCGAGAGCCATCTGCCCAGAACAGACAAGTAGAGGCAGGTATAGGTTCTGTGAGTGTGTGTGTGTGTGTGTGCGCGCGCGCGCTTGCATGCCTGTGCCCAGCAGCTGCTCTTTAGATTAGAAGACCCATTGGCAGGCAGCTCTGAAACACCCTCTTGGGTAATTTCAAATTCATATTGCACATCTTGGCTGAGAGAAGAAACTTCCCAGGACAACCTGGGTCCCTTTCTCTGCCTTGTCACTGCCCTGAATATATTGTGAACCACAATCAGCAGGGCCAGCATCTTAGAAATAAATGCCCAGATGGACATTAAATTGTACCTCATTTTGTACCCCGCAACCATGAACTGATGCAAGCCTTGTTTGAGATTTAAGTAATAAGGGCATGACCTCTTCTTGACAGTTGTAACCCAAGGCACTGTAGAGATTCGCTATTATTAACACGATGTTGAACTTTAACTTGAATGCCTGCCTGTTCCATTCAGTGTCATATGAGATGTGAGTACAGAGTGCTGAGGAAGCTCTAGAGCAACATCCAAATGTAGGATGTTATTTATTATTATTAATCAAGTTTTTTGTTTTGTCTTACTCAGGTGTTAAGAGAAATCTCATACCTTACACTGCTAAAATTTGAAGAAACTAATTTTCTCTAAGTGGTATTACTTGTTCCTATTGGAGGAGGAGGGAGGGCAGGAAGAAAGAGCTTGTTCATTTGTTCAGCAAGTATGTGTTGCATCACCAGTTAGGTACCAGGTCCTCTACCAGATAAGCCCACCACTGTCCAGGCACTGAATCTGTACGTTACTTGGTCCTCACAACATCCCTCTAAGTAAGTCCTATATTGGTGATCAAATGAAAAGACCAAACCTGAAAATAATTAAGTAACTTCCCCAGAGTCTCATGGGTGGTAAATATCAGACTGGAAATTCAGAATTGGATTTGAGTTATTCCATAACCCATACTCTTTATTTTTAACTTTAACATTAAAATAATTTGAAACTTACAGAAAAAATAATAGAATAATAAAGAATTCGCATATACTTTTACCCAGGTTTTCCAGTTTTTAACATTTTACCACATTTGCTTTCTTCCTCTCCTCCTTCCTTCACCCTCCACTCTCCCTCTCCCTCCCATGTGTTTATATGTGTGTATATATTTTTTCTGAATCAATTCATACACTTTAGTGTGATTATCCTAAAAGACAAGTACAGTCTTCTTTTTTTTTTCTATTATTGAGAGATAATTGACATATAATATTATATTAGTGACAGGTGTACAGCATAATGATTTGAGTTCACTCTTATAATAACCAAGGTATAACAAATTCAGTAAATTAACAATGATACAATATTACTTTCTAATCCATAGTTTCCATTCAACTTTTCACCAAATGTCTCATTAATATCCTTAGGGGGAAAAATTCTTTTTTCTTTTGGGCAGGATGATATGTTGCATTTAGTTGTCATGTTTCTGCTTCAATCTCGAGCAGTTCTCTGGTCTTCCCTTGTGTTTTGTCATGTGACAGTTTGAAGAGTATGTTTTGTAAAATGTTCCTCAATTTAGGTGTGTGTGATGTTTTCTCATTGCAGGACTGAGTTTTCTGTGTTTTTTGGCAGGAATACCACAGAAGCAATGCTATATTCTTATAATCATATCATGAGACACAAAAATAGATATACCATGTCCATACCAACCCCACTTGGTTAAGGTGGTGTCTGCCAGATATCTCCACTGTGAAGTTATACTTTTTCTGTTTGTAAGGAATGAATATTTTGTGGGAAGATACTTGAAGAATATGTAACTATATTGCTCCTAACTAAACTTTCTACTATAACAAAGAGCTTTCCCTCCCCCCCATTTTTGTATTCTTTTTTATCAATATGCACTTATAGATTTCTGTTTTATTTAGTGGGTTATAATCCATTAATATCACTGTTTTGATATCAAAATGATCTCAGATTTGATCAGTGAGAGACCCTTCAAGCTGGCTGTTGTGTTCTTTTGACAAGTCCTCATCATTTTCTGAGTATGTTCTTACTTTCTGGCACAAGAAAACATACCATATGCATCTTGTACTTTCTCTACCAAGCCCCAGAATTAGCCATATCTTCAAGGAGATCTGGGTCCATTATGGAAAACAGTATGTAGAAACTGAGATCTGGGCATTGGGTGTGCTCACTGGGCTAGGTGTGCTCATTGTTTCTAGGCCCTCTAAGCCCAAAGAGCTAGGAAATAGAAACACATGCACACACCTGTTGTCATATCTGTGGTGTTCTCCCTCTCCCTCCCTCTGTATTAAATACTAGGAGATAGCATCGATAGCCCCAGTTCCAACCTGACATAGGGGTATTCTAGCTTTTATTCTTTTCATGTTTATAACTTTCCATGTTTATAACTGGCGATAGCCTGGTTTCTGTTATCCTCAAACCGTTTACTTATTTTCTCATTGCCCATGTTTGGAACCAATCTTCCAACCCTGCTGACGGCTTCCTCAACCCTACAGTCTTTTTAGCTCCATCAGCCCTAATCCCTCAAGGAAATGGCTTTTGATAACTCTTGTGCCAGAAAGTAAGAAAGTGATTCAGGAAGCCCTAACCCTATACTTTTTGCTAGACTCTTCCTAACAGTTATTACTACTGATGTCTTCAAGGTGTTGAGAGAGATGTAAAGTACTAGTTCTCAAAAATATGGTAAGGTTTAAATGAATTTGCTTATTCATTTTTTCTGTATGTTCCTATGAATTGTAAAAAGAAATGGGTTCTCCTTAGCAGAGCTGGATCACAGGACATCGGAGACATTATTCCCTGGGCATGCCTCACTTTTTCTTCACTCAGATCCCAGGTCCCTTCCTTCCCACTGTCTTCTCCCCATCCCAGTGGATTATGTTCTTCCATGGTGCTCCCAGGGCTTAAATGCACTTACCCTCAATCCACATTATTATAATTGCCAACATATTTGTCTCTCTCTTGCTAGCCTTGGTTTTCCTGGAGTGCAGAATGCACCTTTCAGCATTGTAGCCCCACCCCTAGTATGCAGTCAGTGCACAATAAGCATGTACTGGATGGGGGAAACATCACCAAACACCTTGACCATGGACAAAGGAAAGAAGCAGCTCTAGAATAAAGCAACTTTAGAACAACATCTCAGTAAGCTGAATGGGAAAGAAATAAGAAAAGCACACATATTAAAGCCATCAGTCGTTTTTAAATTCCAGGACTTTAAAATCTTTAAATTCTTTTCCTAACAGACATTTTATCAGCAGTAAATTGGCGGATTTAAATTTCAATATATTATCCTTTCCTTCATGTTACCTAAGGATGGGATTAATGATTTACATGTAAAAATGAAAGGTCTGGATAATCAAAAAATAGAAAAATATCTTCAAGTAAATAAGTCTGATTAGGGAACCCTGGTATAATGAAGGGTGCCCCTCACTTCCTTTGAAATCGACCTGTGGACATGCTTTTGGAATCATATATATTTTAGGGTTTCACATTTTTCTAAAGTGAAAGTGGTACTAATAGGTTAACTTTTTAAAAAAGGAAGATGGGGAAAACATGTTCTTAAGTTCTGAATCCTGTTGTTGCAAATGATTTGTACTCTTCTTCGGTTTCCAGGGGCTATTTCTTCATATACTTTACAAATGCCAAATACCAGGTGGCAGCTATCTTAGCTCTAAGACATTCCCCAAGTGTCCTGCTTTCATGTCATTATGTAATGCTTTTCTCTTCGCATGGCTGTCATCACTCAGTGGCCTTGTCAAGGTATATCACTGAGTAACTCTCTTCGCTTTTGCATCCATATTACTTTTCCAAATGGGCACTGGTTCTCTGAAAACTAGAGGAAAAGGAGAGAAGAAATAATTCCAACAACATCTCAGATTGGCTAGAAAGTTCCTTTCTGAACAGGAAAATACATGAGTTGAAGCTTTTCTCCCTTCTCAGCCCTTCTTTTCTTTAAAAATGTTATTTCATCCTACTCTCATTTTCCTTACTAACTGCACATCTTATAGATACATTGTATCAGCAGATAACTTGTTTAATTTTTCAGCTCAAGTTTTGCCTTCATAACTGTTGTCTCTGATAACCTGAAGGACAGTTGTATACGCCCTTAAGCACAATTTTCACTTCAAGAGATATTTCCTGAGTGCCCATACTATGTTGTGTACCGTGCTAGGTCTTGGTACTATAAAGATAAAATAAAATGCTGCCCTGTTCCTGTCCTTCAAATACGCACAGTCTAGTAGGACAGGCACATGTCAAAATTCTAATTTTAATGGGCTGAGCATTATAACAGGGGGCTAAACATAATGCTGAGTCTTCCTAAACTGGGGGTCAAGGAAGGTGCACACGGGGAAGGTAGGGGTTGGGGCTATTTGAACTGGACCCCTTGGGGGAGGAGTAGTTGGCTTCTGCCAGAGAAAGGGTAAGAAGGCAGGCATTCTAGGGAGGGGGCGTGATGTGAGCACAAGTGCACTGGTAATAAAGCACGTGATAGGTTCAGCAATGGCGAGTTGCTCCCATGCCTGGAGCACAGGGGTACGGTGTCCAGTTTTGTACTGTGGAAGGTAGAATACTTATTTGAGCCAGAATGTTAAGGGCCTTGGATACTTTGATGCCAGACGTTAACTACCCTGTAGACACTGAGGAGCCACCAGTGGCATTTTAACAGAAAATTATAGACAAGAATGTAGAGTG